CTCCAGTCCTCCCCACCATTACCCCCCTCCCCTTCCCCATCCCCTCGTCCTCCCAATCACTCCTTACTCCCCCATCCCCTCGTCCTCCCAATCACTCCTTACTCCCCCATCCCCTCGTCCTCCCAGCCATTTCTCACTCCACCATCCCCTCGTCCTCCCAACCATTCCCTACTCCCCCATCCACCCCAACCTTTTCCCATCCACTCGTCCTCCCCACCATTCCCCCCTCCCCGTTCATTTGTCCTCCCCACCATCCCCCACTAAACCGTCCCCTCATTCTCTAACCATTCTCCACTCCACCGTCCCATTGTCCTCCCCACTATCTTCCACTCCCCCATTGCCTTGTCTTCCCTACCATTCTCCCCTCCCCCGTCCCCTCAATTTCCCCACCATCCCACACGTCCCTGTCCCATTGTCTACCCCCCCCCATTCTCCATTCCCCTGTCTCCTTGTCCCCACCATCCCCAAATCCCCCATCCCCTTGTCCTCTTCACCATTACCCCCTCCCCTGTATCATTGTCCTCCCCACCATCCCTCACTCCCGTTGCCTCCTCCTCCCCACCATTCCCGATTCCCTCGTCTGATGCATTCCCAAATGATCTGACGTTCCCATAAAAAAATTGGGAACATCAAACGATCGGATGTTCCCATCACTGAAATATCAGAAAAACGGTTCAAAAAAGAAATGAAAAACAATGAAAAAATAAACTATATTCAGGAAATGAACGGTATGTTAAACAAAACAGGTCAATTCCAACTCAATGTCACACAAAATAATTGAAGCAAAAGAATATAAATCGAAATCTATGAAAATTCAATTTATCAGTGCAATCGGAAATATTGAAATGGAATTGTAACATATTTAATATAGCGTGTGTTGCTATTATGTGCAACTGTTTTTCAAGAAAAGCATGTTTTTACCTGTCACAGGTGTGGCATCTATATAGTAAGTATATAAAAACATGTGCAAATTCAAATGAAACGTGTCAAAATTTCAAAGCAATCGGTACAGAGGTTTTGAAGATTTCCCCTCACATGAAAAACACAGGTTTAAAAAAAAAAACATGTTTTTTTCCCATTACAGACGTGACATCTATATAGGATGTATATAAAAAAACGCACTCGGATGCGAATGGAACGTTGTGTCAAAATTTCAAAGCAATCGGCGAAGAATTTTTGGAGATTAGCCATTTTGAACAAACGAACATTTCCATTTTTATTTATATAGATTATTATTATTTTAAATTGTATGATACTGGTACCCAGTGTTCGTGTTGCTGGAGTCCGGGCATCTCTGTACAGTACACTTTATAGTGATGTGTTATGATTAAGATGCGAAGTTTACCCATGAGGGATAAGTATTGCTTGCCGCTTGACTTTCATTGTACGTCTCGCTTCCTCTCTATGTGGAGTCAGGGATTCGTCGTAACGTGTGGCAATGTTACTAGTGATGGTGGATTATTTATTAAATGCTTAAGTTGCAGCGTGAGTGTTGTTCTCTCACAGTAGTGTAGGCTATCATCGCCTAGACCACAGTTCATTTATTGTATTTAAAGAAGTGTAATTTGTCTGAGGCTGTGCCTTGCCCACCTCTCGTGTGGAAGGATTTTTCTTGCTAATATTCATTAAAAACACAATGTGACCCCCAAGGTGTAACATCCATATAGTTTATATTGTACTACTCTGAGGTATGGGGGTACCCACAGTCTGTAGCGTGGGGGTACCCACAGTCTGTAGTGTGGGGGTACCCACAGTCTGTAGTGTGAAGGTACCCACAGTCTGTAGTGTGGGGGTACCCACAGTCTGTAGTGTGAAGGTACCCACAGTCTGTAGTGTGGGGGTACCCACAGTCTGTAGCGTGGGGGTACCCACAGTCTGTAGTGTGAAGGTACCCACAGTCTGTAGTGTGGGGGTACCCACAGTCTGTAGTGTGGGGTACCCACAGTCTGTGGTATGGGGGTACCCACAGTCTGTAGTGTGGGGTACCCACAGTCTGTAGTATGGGGGTACCTACAGTCTGTAGTATGGGGGTACCTACAGTCTGTAGTGTGAAGGTACCCACAGTCTGTAGTGTGAGGGTACCCACAGTCTGTAGTGTGAAGGTACCCACAGTCTGTAGTATGGGGGTACCCACAGTCTGTAGTGTGGGGGTACCCACAGTCTGTAGTGTGAGGGTACCCACAGTCTGTAGTATGGGGGTACCTACAGTCTGTAGTGTGAGGGTACCCACAGTCTGTAGTGTGAGGGTACCCACAGTCTGTAGTGTGAAGGTACCCACAGTCTGTAGTATGGGGGTACCCACAGTCTGTAGTGTGGGGGTACCCACAGTCTGTAGTGTGAGGGTACCCACAGTCTGTAGTATGGGGGTACCTACAGTCTGTAGTGTGAGGGTACCCACAGTCTGTAGTGTGAGGGTACCCACAGTCTGTAGTGTGAAGGTACCCACAGTCTGTAGTATGGGGGTACCCACAGTCTGTAGTGTGGGGGTACCCACAGTCTGTAGTGTGAGGGTACCCACAGTCTGTAGTGTGGGGGTACCCACAGTCTGTAGTGTGAGGGTACCCACAGTCTGTAGTGTGAGGGTACACACAGTCTGTAGTATGGGGGTACCCACAGTCTGTAGTGTGGGGGTACCCACAGTCTGTAGTATGGGGGTACCTACAGTCTGTAGTGTGAAGGTACCCACAGTCTGTAGTATGGGGGTACACACAGTCTGTAGTATGGGGGTACCCACAGTCTGTAGTGTGGGGGTACCCACAGTCTGTAGTGTGGGGGTACCCACAGTCTGTAGTGTGAAGGTACCCACAGTCTGTAGTATGGGGGTACCCACAGTCTGTAGTATGGGGGTACTCACAGTCTGTAGTGTGAGGGTACCCACAGTCTGTAGTGTGAAGGTACCCACAGTCTGTAGTATGGGGGTACCCACAGTCTGTAGTATGGGGGTACCCACAGTCTGTAGTGTGGGGGTACCCACAGTCTGTAGTGTGGGGGTACCCACAGTCTGTAGTGTGGGGGTACCTACAGTCTGTAGTGTGGGGGTACCCACAGTCTGTAGTATGGGGGTACCCACAGTCTGTAGTGTGGGGGTACCCACAGTCTGTAGTGTGAGGGTACCCACAGTCTGTAGTGTGGGGGTACCCACAGTCTGTAGTGTGGGGGTACCCACAGTCTGTAGTGTGGGGGTACCCACAGTCTGTAGTGTGGGGGTACCCACAGTCTGTAGTTTGAAGGTACCCACAGTCTGTAGTGTGGGGGTACCCACAGTCTGTAGTGTGGGGGTACCTACAGTCTGTACTGTGGGGGTACCCACAGTCTGTAGTGTGAAGGTACCCACAGTCTGTAGTGTGGGGGTACCCACAGTCTGTAGTGTGGGGTACCCACAGTCTGTAGTATGGGGGTACCCACAGTCTGTAGTATGGGGGTACCTACAGTCTGTAGTGTGAAGGTACCCACAGTCTGTAGTGTGAGGGTACCCACAGTCTGTAGTGTGAAGGTACCCACAGTCTGTAGTATGGGGGTACACACAGTCTGTAGTATGGGGGTACCCACAGTCTGTAGTGTGTGGGGTACCCACAGTCTGTAGTGTGTGGGGGTACCCACAGTCTGTAGTGTGGGGGTACCCACAGTCTGTAGTGTGTGGGGTACCCACAGTCTGTAGTGTGTGGGGTACCCACAGTCTGTAGTGTGAAGGTACCCACAGTCTGTAGTGTGGGGGTACCCACAGTCTGTAGTGTGGGGGTACCCACAGTCTATAGTGTGGGGGTACCCACAGTCTGTAGTATGGGGGTACCCACAGTCTGTAGTGTGAAGGTACCCACAGTCTGTAGTGTGGGGGTACCCACAGTCTGTAGTGTGGGGGTACCCACAATCTGTAGTGTGGGGTACCCACAGTCTGTAGTGTGGGGGTACCCACAGTCTGTAGTGTGGGGTACCCACAGTCTGTAGTGTGGGGGTACCCACAGTCTGTAGTGTGGGGTACCCACAGCCTGTAGTGTGGGGGTACCCACAGTCTGTAGTATGGGGGTACCCACAGTCTGTAGTGTGGGGGTACCCACAGTCTGTAGTGTGAGGGTACCCACAGTCTGTAGTGTGGGGGTACCCACAGTCTGTAGTGTGGGGGTACCCACAGTCTGTAGTGTGGGGGTACCCACAGTCTGTAGTGTGGGGGTACCCACAGTCTGTAGTTTGAAGGTACCCACAGTCTGTAGTGTGGGGGTACCCACAGTCTGTAGTGTGGGGGTACCTACAGTCTGTAGTGTGGGGGTACCCACAGTCTGTAGTGTGAAGGTACCCACAGTCTGTAGTGTGGGGGTACCCACAGTCTGTAGTGTGGGGTACCCACAGTCTGTAGTGTGGGGGTACCCACAGTCTGTAGTGTGGGGTACCCACAGTCTGTAGTGTGGGGGTACCCACAGTCTGTAGTGTGGGGGTACCCACAGTCTGTAGTATGGGGGTACCCACAGTCTGTAGTGTGGGGGTACCCACAGTCTGTAGTGTGAGGGTACCCACAGTCTGTAGTGTGAAGGTACCCACAGTCTGTAGTGTGGGGGTACCCACAGTCTGTAGTGTGGGGGTACCCACACTCTGTAGTATGGGGGTACCCACAGTCTGTAGTGTGGGGGTACCCACAGTCTGTAGTGTGAGGGTACCCACAGTCTGTAGTATGGGGGTACCCACAGTCTGTAATGCTTATGGTGCTTCTCTCCTCATGCAGCGGCACAATTCAGTCTCCGAGATGACCCAAGGGGCGCCGCGGGGGCGGATGTGCCCAACACGTCTACTCAAGACCTCTACTCACCTACAGAGTTCAGTGGGGGCCTAATTGTGCCGCTGGGGGTGGGGGAGGGGCGCTCTTACTGTGGGTGAAGGTGGTGTGGGTATTATAACGGTACGCCCAGACTGCAAGAGGAAAATTAGAGTAATAGGAAGGCACTACAAAGGTCAACACCGCTGGATACTCCCGCTTTCATGCATAGCTCCGTGGCACCTACAACACTTACCTGTGCTGGCCGGCGCCTCAGGCCCCTGTGGGGAGAAATAAACAAAATTTAAAACAAGAACTTGTCATGAGGGATATTTACCCCAACACACCTACCCTAGAGGGATATTTTCCTCAACACATCAACCCTAGAGGAATATTTACCTCAATATAGCTACCCTAGAGTGATATTTTCCTCAACACAGCTACCCTAGAGTGATATTAACCTCAATACAGCTACCCTAGAGTGATATTTTCCTCAACACAGCTACCCTAGAGGAATATTTACCTCAATATATCAACCCTAGAGTGATATTTTCCTCAACACAGCTACCCTAGAGGAATATTTACCTCAACACAGCTACCCTAGAGGGATATTTTCCTCAACACAGTTACCCTAAAGGGATATTTGCCTTAACACAGCTACCCTAGAGAAATATTTGCCTCAACACAGTTACCCTAGAGGAATATTTACCTCAACACAGTTACCCAAGAGGAATATTTGCCTCAACACAGCTATCCTAGAGGAATATTTGCATCAACACAGCTACCCTAGAGGGATATTTACTTCAACACAGCTACCCTATAGGAATATTTACCTCAATACAGGTACCCTTGAGTGATATTTTCCTCAACATAGCTACCCTAGAGAGATATTTACCTCAATACAGCTGCCCTAGAAGAATATGTACCTCAATACAGCTACCCTAGAGTGATATTTACGTCAACACAGCTACCCTAGAGGGATATTTTCCTCAACACAGCTACCCTAGAGGAATATTTATCTCAATATAGCTACCCTAGAGTTATATTTACCTCAATATAGCTACCCTAGAGTGATATTTTCCTCAACACAGCTACCCTAGAGGAATATTTACCTCAACACAGCTACCCTAGAGGGATATTTACCTCAACACAGCTACCCTAGAGGGATATTTTCCTCAGCACAGTTACCCTAAAGGGATATTTGCCTTAACACAGCTACCCTAGAGAAATATTTGCCTCAACACAGTTACCCTAAATGGATATTTGCCTTAACACAGCTACCCTAGAGAAATATTTGCCTCAACACAGTTACCCTAGAGGAATATTTACCTCAACACAGTTACCCAAGAGGAATATTTGCCTCAACACAGCTACCCTAGAGGAATATTTGCCTCAACACAGCTACCCTAGAGGGATATTTACTTCAACACAGCTACCCTATAGGAATATTTACCTCAATACAGGTACCCTTGAGTGATATTTTCCTCAACATAGCTACCCTAGAGAGATATTTACCTCAATACAGCTGCCCTAGAAGAATATGTACCTCAATACAGCTACCCTAGAGTGATATTTACGTCAACACAGCTACCCTAGAGGGATATTTTCCTCAACACAGCTACCCTAGAGGAATATTTACCTCAATATAGCTACCCTAGAGTGATATTTACCTCAATATAGCTACCCTAGAGTGATATTTTCCTCAACACAGCTACCCTAGAGGAATATTTACCTCAACACAGCTACCCTAGAGGGATATTTACCTCAACACAGCTACCCTAGAGGGATATTTTCCTCAGCACAGTTACCCTAAAGGGATATTTGCCTTAACACAGCTACCCTAGAGAAATATTTGCCTCAACACAGTTACCCTAAATGGATATTTGCCTTAACACAGCTACCCTAGAGAAATATTTGCCTCAACACAGTTACCCTAGAGGAATATTTACCTCAACACAGTTACCCAAGAGGAATATTTGCCTCAACACAGCTACCCTAGAGGAATATTTGCCTCAACACAGCTACCGTAGTGTGATATTTACCTCAATACATCTACCCTAGAGTGATATTTTCCTCAACACAGCTACCCTAGAGAGATATTTACCTCAATAAAGCTACCCTAGAGTGATATTTTCCTCAACATAGCTACCCTAGAGGAATATTTACCTCAACACAGCTGCCCTAGACGGGTTATAATCTGGACATAGTTATATAATTCTAAGAGAGCTGCCTTAGAGGGGTATTTACCTGGGCACACTGAGGGCAGCACTCACAAGGCTTGGTGACGGTGCCATAGAGGCAGCCTTGAGGAACGTCGCAGAAGACCAGCTCACATTCCGCCGGCCTGCAGTCCTCCTCGTCTGCATACCTGATGACGAGGGGGGGGGCAAAGACAATTACCTCGAGAAAACACGTGGCCGGTATGATTATATAGCACATAGAAGGACAATCACTGAGGCGCAGTGGTGACACACTCGCACTGCGCCTTGCGAGCTATTTTGCTTCGGGTTCGAGCCCTGGACAAAAGGTTGACTGAGCACAAATCATTAACAGTAACACAAATGCGAACAAGTTTAAATGGTCCCCAGTCAATGGACTCTCTGTCCCCAACATAATCACCGAGTGTTGTCGGGAGTTGTGTTATGGGTCTGACTAACCATTACAAATTCGTTGCTCTGACAACACACAATTCCTCTGTTCAAATCCCCAATCAAGCTAAACATTAACTCACTCAGCACGTTCTCTGGTGCTACATGTACAAGTACTAATCAAGTTTTGAAGCTCTCGCTAGATGGATGTAATAGAACCATGAATATCACCCAGTAATAATGTCTTTGATCTTCCCAAAGATGCCATGCAAGTAAAGAGACTCTATATACAGAACTTTCTTCCCATACTTTATGCAAAAGCCGAAAAGAGAAGTTCCAACTTCCCTTCCCCAGTACACGATCTGGTGCTACTAACTCCCCCAGTACCCGATTTGTTGCTACTAACTCCCCCAGTACCCCATTTTGTACCACTAACTCCCCCAGTACTCCATCTGGTGTTACTAACTCCCCCAGTACTCCATCTTGTACCACTAACTCCCCCAGTACTCCATCTTGTACTACTAACTCCCCCAGTACCCCATTTTGTACCACTAACTCCCTCAGTACCCCATCTTGTACCACTAACTCCCCCAGTACTCCATCTTGTACTACTAACTCCCCCAGTACCCCATCTTGTACCACTAACTCCCCCAGTACCCCATCTTGTACTACTAACTCCCCCAGTACCCCATGTTGTACCACTAACGCCCCCAGTACCCCATCTTGTACCACTAACTCCCCCAGTACCCTATCTTGTACTACTAACTCCCCCAGTACAACCATCTTGTACCACTAACGCCCCCAGTACCCCATCTTGTACCACTAACTCCTCCAGTACCCCATCTTGTGTTACTAACTCCTCTAGAACCCCATCTTTTGTTACTAACTCCCTTAGTACCCCATCTTGTGTTACTAATTCCCCCAGTACCCCATCCTGTGTTACTAACTCACCCAGTACCCCATCTTGTGCTTCTTACTCCTCTAGTACCCCATCTTGTGCTTCTTACTCCTCTAGTACCCCATCTTGTGTTACTAACTCACCCAGTACCCCATCTTGTGTTACTAACTCCCTTAGTACCCCATCTTGTGTTACTAACTCCCTTAGTACCCCATCTTGTGTTACTAACTCTCCCAGTACCCCATCTTGTGCTTCTTACTCCTCTAGTACCCCTTCTTGTGTTACTAACTCACCCAGTACCCCATCTTGTGCTTCTAACTCCCTCAGTACTCCATCTTGTGCTATTAACTCACCAAGTATCTGTCAGTGTACATATTTCTTTTTAAGAGTTCTTCAGCTTATATCTTAACATTCACTGCAAACTTTGTGTCAATTTCAAGACTCGCCCGAAGTGCTAAGGATGTTAATGGCTTGGCAGGATTGTATCATTTAATCAGCATATTATGTATTATAACAGCGCATTGTATCTTCTTGTACACATATAAATAAACAGATAAATCCAATATATATATCGTTTCGACATCTTATATGTCGTTATCATGTCCCACATATTCCTCCTCCTCCTTCTTCTCTCTGAGTCATCGAGTCTCGAACCCTTTACGCCGTTCACATATAGCGTGGGAGTATATATACCCATCACCTCGGATTTAAATTTAATTTGACACCCCCAGTCTTCTGTTTACCACTCTAGACGGGGCGTTCCCTATACAGCCTGACCAAGGGTACTGGCGCTCAGCCTCGGAAGTACACCAACACTTGCAATATTCAGGAACAGCCTCAAGACGTGCACGATATAACAGATATCTAAATGCAACAGAGTCATCTATGGATCTGAAACACCCCTTTTATAATTGTAATGTTACACACAGGAACACTCACGTCATGTTACACACAGGAACACTCACGTCATGTTACACCAAGGAACACTCACGTCATGTTACACCCAGGAACACTCACGTCATGTTACACCAAGGAACACTCACGTCATGTTACACCCAGGAACACTCACGTCATGTTACATACAGGAACACTCACGTCATGTTACATACAGGAACACTCACGTCATGTTACACACAGGAACACTCACGTTATGTTACACCAACGAACACTCACGTCATATTACTTCCAGGAATACTCACGTCATGTTACACCCAGGAACACTCACGTCATGTTACACACAGGAACACTCACGTCATGTTACACACAGGAACACTCACGTCATGTTACATACAGGAACACTCACGTCATGTTACATACAGGAACACTCACGTCATGTTACACCCAGGAACACTCACGTCATGTTACACCCAGGAACACTCACGTCATGTTACATACAGGAACACTCACGTCATGTTACATACAGGAACACTCACGTCATGTTACACCCAGGAACACTCACGTCATGTTACACCCAGGAACACTCACGTCATGTTACATACAGGAACACGCACGTCATGTTACATACAGGAACACTCACGTCATGTTACACACAGGAACACTCACGTTATGTTACACCAACGAACACTCACGTCATATTACTTCCAGGAATACTCACGTCATGTTACACCCAGGAACACTCACGTCATGTTACATACAGGAACACTCACGTCATGTTACATACAGGAACACTCACGTCATGTTACATACAGGAACACTCACGTCATGTTACATACAGGAACACTCACGTCATGTTACATACAGAAACATATGTTGTAAAACACCCAGGAACACTCACGTGGCAGCCACCAGCACCAGTAGCAGCAGTAGCATCAGCCTTACACCAAACATGGCTGGAAATCGATTCTCTGATTCTGAAATTATAAACATTAATAATTTTTGGGGGATGGAGAAGAGTGGCGCCTCTGGGCACTGAAGGTACACCAGCGGAGTGCAGTTATCAACTCTTTGACATAATTCTTTTTTTTTTGTTTGTTATTTGAACATAGTTCATTTTAGTGTAATCGGAAGTCAGGGATATTTTAAAGCATTTTATACTGATATGTTTACATTCCCAGATTGTCATTCAAAGGTTTTAATATTTGTATAAGATTATCTACGTTACTTTGAATGAAGGAACAGGCGGTCAGGGAAGGGGGACACCATCAGTAATTGCCGGAATCTATGAAAGCCTCAGCCCCCACGAATATCTCCACCGCCACCACCACAAGCTCCAACGCCTTTGCACCCGACAGTCACCTCGAAGACTTCCCTGCCCGGTCCGGCTCACTGGGACCCACCACTCCAGCCTCAACCAACACTAACGCGCCCTGCCGTCTCTCTAAACGGCGACGTCATCCCTGCCCTAATGCGCCTTGCAGAACGGATCGCCGGGACCGATAACCACCTGTTTGTGAGAACCCTCAACACCCTGTATGCCGCGAATGGCTTAACCGGGATTTATCGATCCTGTTGCAGAGCTGGCTGTCCCAACATCAACACCAACAGCTGCTCCTGCACCACTCACAGTTCTGATGGAAGTCGCGGAGGTGTCCTGCGCACCAGCAGTCAGTTTGCAATCTACAGCGCCTAAAATCAACGGTTCTTGCGGACGTCGACGTACGATCTGTCCCCTCCAACGAAACCACCCGTACTCCAGCTGCACAGGCAACCTCTGGTCCGCGGCCCCTGAGACCCACACCTGCACCGTCAACGCTCGCTGTACCGGACGCAGACGACCCGTCCGACTCCTCTGACGAAGACATCTCTGTAGGATCACCAACTCATCCGCAACATTTTTACCCCTACAGCCCAGATGACTTCTTACTCCAGGCCTCTCCTGCAAGCGTGACCGACAGTTTCGCCGTGTCTACACGCATTAAGACGACCAAGAAGAAGCTCAACAAGACGAGGTCCTAGAAAGGATGAGCCACATCTGACGACGTAACTCAACCTCACCCAGCTGCTTGAGAGTCTAGCCCCTGTGCAACTCTCACGGATGCAAGTGGACAACAAGAACGCCCTACAGTATCACTGCCAAGTACAAACCCGCGGTGATCGGACCACCGAGAACGGCGTTCAATTCCCGACCGTTCAAGTAGTTGGGCACCATTCCTTTTCCCGGTCCCATCCCAACTTCTTATCCTGATTCCTTCCAAGTGCTATTTAGTCGTAATGCCTTGGCGCTTTCCCTCTAATAATTCCCTTCCCCCTGCCTTCCCCTCCAACTTGTATCCTGTTCCCTGCTCCAGTTGTCTGCACCCTCGCCTCGGTCTCCCGTCCCTTGCTGACCTGCCCTCTGATCTGGGAGTCAATTTGATTGGCGCGTATCGTATGCACGACGGCAACACTCGCTTCATACTCACTCTTCCACCCCACATACTCACTCTTCCGCCCCACATACTCACTCTTCCACCCCACATACTCTTCCACCCCACATACTCACTCTTCCACCCCACATACTCACTCTTCCACCCCACATACTCACTCTTACACCCCACATACTCACTCTTCCACCCCACATACTCACTCTTACACCCCACATACTCACTCTTCCACCCCACATACTCACTCTTCCACCCAACATACTCACTCTTCTACCCCTCGGCTTCCACCCCGTGGAGCAGGTGGCTGAGCGGACAGAACACTTGACGCGTGATTCTGTGGTCCCGGGTTCGATCCCAGTCGCCAGCGGGAAACGATGGGCAGAGTTTCTTTCATCCTATGCCCCAGTTACCTAGCAGTAAATAGGTACCTGGGAGATAGTCAGCTGTCACGGGCTGCTTCCTGGTGTGTGTGTGTGTGTGTGTGTGTGTGTGTACTCACCTATTTGTGCTTGCAGGATCGAGCATTGACTCTTGGATCCCGCCTTTCCAGCAATCGGTTGTTTACAGCAATGACTCCTGTCCCATTTCCCTATCATACCTAGGTTTAAAAGTATGAATAGTATTTGCTTCCACAACCTGTTCCCCAAGTGCATTCCATTTTTCCACTACTCTCACGCTAAAAGAAAACTTCCTAACGTGTGTGTGTGTGTGTGTGTGTGTGTGTGTGTGTGTGTGTGTGTGTGTGTGTGTGTGTGTGTGTGTGTGTGTGTGTGTGTGTGTGTGTGTGTTAGTGTGGGGGATAAAATAGTAGTAAATTTTATTATTCTTATTTCTTAAATGAATACAAATGAATCCATGAAATAATTTAGTTACGTTTATTATTTATTTATGTAAGACCTTTTTATTAGTACTTTATTTTAGATTAATAATTTAAGCTTAAATATATTATATACAATATCATGTATTCCACTGTGACAAGCTATAAACATGAACTACTTAAGTAATTTATAGCAGTATTTTGTTTTAGTCAAGACTAGTGAATTACCTTAGCCAGAAGCAGACAAGCGACGCCCCGGGACCCTGGTCCACAACTGCCGCCACAACCATACACAATTATAGTCGCACTTCACTATCACACCAACAGCCACTTTCAAATATTTATCGCTTTTCACTCGAGTGCCAATACAGAAATTTTCTCATAATGCTTCCTATCCGTATACGTATGAAAAAAATCGCAAAAACACACACGTACAAAATATTTGCGATAATAAATTTACGATAATATAGATACATATTAAGCTATTTGTTAAATGCCTAGACATTATTTAATGTTAGTAAATGAGGCGTGGTATTTATGAGACAAACACCTGGAGAGCCATAAATGGTATTGACCAGTGGCCGGATGTGCCCGCTCTCTCGGCATGATAGCCAGCGGCCGCCCGCTCCCGCCACCTCCCCTACTACACCAAACCTCTTTCAAGTAGTCGTTTTTCGCATACACGATTGTAAACCTTCCACCGCCGCCCTCTAGATAGGTGTCGGCTGAATGATTGCTAAATTAAACTATAGTATATGAAACGCTCAATTCAGATGTAATTTCCTCAGCTTAGAGACCATTATAAGGAAGATTTTTCACTAAAGTTTAGTGTCTACAAAAAACATACGACTAATTTATCTTATCTTCATTATTTCTCAGGGCATAGATACAATGTGAAATTTTTTTTTTTTTCTTCAATGTATCTAAGAGCTCTTCAGGTTGTGAGTCCAGAATTCTTAGATGAAGAGTTTAAGAATATTGATTCTATTGGCCTCAAGCTTTGTTAAACAATGAGTTTTTTGGAAGTTTGCCGTAGCAAAGCATGTCGTACATATTATAATAATATATGCAGTGAAAAAATTCGCCCAAAGAATGTGTTATGTTTACCATATTTCTCTGGATTTGAGAATATTGTCAAGGCCTTGAAACTTTTTGATATACATGTATTGTTTAGCTACGAAAATACTGTTGGTAAGCTATTAGTTAGGAACAGCCCTCGTAGTGATAACTGTCATTTATAAAGTACCTTGAAAAGACTGTAATAGGTTCTATGTTGGGCAAACATCTAAAGATTTGAAATGTTGAATTTGGCAACATAAATACGTTGTAAGACATGGCCAATTGTCTAATGCTTTGTTTGTTCATTTGACAGAAAATGATCACCAAATTGATTGGGAGATGGCTTCTTCAATGAAGAATTGTAAATGCACTTATAACAGGAACATAATTGAATTTGCTTTAACTCATATTACAAAAGATTGTAATTGGAAAATTACCAGCGGTTATATAATTTAGTTCCATTTTTGATAGATCAATTAAAGGGCCATTAGAGTAGGATCATTGATGCGCATTTGTCTCACTAATTCATTGTAAATATTTACTATTTTATGCTATTATTATCCATGTGTGGGCCTATTGGTGGGTATAAATAGGAGTTGCCTCGTATGGGCCAATAGGCCTTTCGCAGTTCTTAGGCGGCTCTTATTTGTATCCACCTAATTCCCATTCATTTTTCATTGTACCTCACCTCACTTCACCTCTCTCTCTCCTGCCTATATATATATATATATATATATATATATATATATATATATATATATATATATATATATATATATATATATATATATATATATATATATATATATATATATATATATATATATATATATATATATATATATATGTCGTACCTAGTAGCAAGAACTCACTTCTCAGCCTACTATGCGAGGCCCGATTTGCCTAACAACCCAAGTTTTACTGAATTAATATATTTTCTCTAATTTTTTTCTTATGAAATGATAAAGTTACCCATTTCATTATGTATGAGGTCAATTTTTTTTTATTGGAGTTAAAATTAACGTACATATATATGACCGAACCTAACCAACCTTACCTAACCTAACCTAACCTATCTCTATACGTTAGGTTAGGTTAGGTAGCCGAAAACGTTAGGTTAGGTTAGGTTAGGTAGGTTAGGTTGTCGAAAAAACATTAATTCATGAAAACTAGGCTTATTAGGCAAATCAGGCCTTGCATAGTAGGCTGAGAAGTGAGTTCTGGCTATTAGGTACGACATATATATATATATATATATATATATATATATATATATATATATATATATATATATATATATATATATATATATATATATATATATATGTCGTACCTAGTAGCCAGAACTCACTTTTTGGCCTACTATTCAAGGCCCGATTTCCCTAATAAGCCAAGTTTTCCTGAATTAATATATTTTTTCTAATTTTATTCTTATGAAATGATAAAGCTACCCATTTCATTATGTATGAGGTCAATTTTTTTTTATTGTAGTTAAAATTAACGTAGATATATGACCGAACCTAACCAACCCTACCTAACCTAACCTAACCTATCTTCATAGGTTAGGTTGGGTTAGGTTGCCGAAAAAGGTAGGTTAGGTTAGGTTAGGTAGGTTAGGTAGTCTAAAAACCATTAATTCATGAAAACTTGGCTTATTAGGCAAATCGGGCCTTGCATAGTAGGCTGAGAAGTGCGTTCTGGCTATTAGGTACGATATATATATATATATATATATATATATATATATATATATATATATATATATATATATATATATGTCGTACCTAGTAGCCAGAACGCACTTCTCAGCCTACTATGCAAGGCCTGATTTGCCTAATAAGCCAAGTTTTCCTAAATTAATTGTTTTACGGCAACCTAACCTACCTAACCTAACCTAACCTATCTTTTTCCGCTACCTAACCTAACCTAACCTATAAAGATAGGTTAGGTTAGGTTAGGTAGGGTTGGTTAGGTTCGGTCATATATCTACGTTAATTTTAATTCCAATAAAAAAAATTGACCTCATACATAATGAAACGGGTAGCTTTATCATTTCATAAGAAAAAAATTAGAGAAAATATATTAATTCAGGAAAACTTGAATTATTAGGCAAATCGTGCCTTGAATAGTAGGCCGAGAAGTGCGTTCTGGCTACTAGGTACGACATATATATATATATATATATATATATATATATATATATATATATATATATATATATATATATGTCGTACCTAGTAGCCAGAACTCACTTCTCAGCCTACTATGCAAGGCCCGATTTGCCTAATAAGCCAAGTTTTCATGAATTAATGTTTTTTCGTCTACCTAACCTACCTAACCTAACCTAACCTAGCTTTTTTTGGCTACCTAACCTAACCTTACCTATATATATAGGTTAGGTTAGGTTAGGTAGGGTTGGTTAGGTTCGGTCATATATCTACGTTAATTTTAACTCCAATAAAAAAAAATTGACCTCA